GAGCTCGTTGCAAGCCCTATCCCTTTTTTTATTGTTCTATTTCATTTTTTATTTATTTTATTGTATATTTTGTTGTTGTTTTTTTGTCTATAACATCCGGATTCGCTAAATGAAACGAGAAACTTGTTTGATTTTTTAATTATTTGTTTTATTATAAATCTTAGAGTCTCGACTTTAAAAAATAAATAAATAATAGTCTTCAAGATAATCATAATTGTTGCATTATCTATAAAACTTGATAAACCGTGTACGCAATCTTAGCATAAATGCTTGTTGAGTCCGATAAAAAAAACTCGTCTTAGGTTCACAGATTTATAGAACAATGTATTAATTTGAAAGAGTAAAATTTATAAAAGATTTATTAACATTGTTGCATGCTTCAATGTCTAGTTTTTTTTATCTAAAACCCGATCTGATCAGTAATCCTCATTAGAATGAAAAAACTAGTGAAACAAGAAGAAATTAGAATACACCAGGGTGAAAGGTTGAATAAATATGACGATGATGATGATGATGATGATGATGATGATGATGATGATGATGATAGAAATGCAAAGGATATGGGTTGTATATTTGTATATATGTATGTGTGATGAAGAAGGTGGAAAAGGTCGTTTCCCGTAGGGCGATGACAGTACGTTTTGAGTCAGATTACCTTAGTCACTAGGAGAGTTGGGCGAGTTTCGTCCAGCTCAGGATAATTACGTGAGGTAGGTTGGTTGGTAGGTAGGTAGATAGGTAGGTAGGTACATTAGCATCGGTCTACGTACCGCATGCATACATACGTGTAATTAGCAGTACGCAAGGGTATGCTTTTGCATTCAGGTATCTGGCCGTGTAAGCACAGCACACGTAGAAAACACGCGCAGTTAAACGAGCATCCAACGTGTCGTTGCTTCCCTACGAAAACCCTTTCCCTACCAATGTGTAGTAGTTCGTGCATGCTTTTACATTTCTATTCTTGATAAGACTATTCTTTCACCTTTTCTCAATTTTCTATCATTTTCTGTTCTTCTTACGCATGTAATGATAACAATGACAAGACAAATCTTGACTATTTTTTAAAGTATTTGAATTATAATTTGTTTTATCTTCACATAGTATTTAATTGATCAAAAAGTTAACACCAATGTTTAAAAAATTTGTCAAAGACTATATATATATATATATATCTATATTTATTTATTTAAACATCCCAATCTCGTGTATAGATATAAAATAATGTTGAACACGTGATATTTCAGGATAAGATTAAACCTCGAATAAAAATGCATAAACATGTTTATCTAGATATAAGGATAGGTAAAACATAAGAATAGTTTAAAAGTAGTTAAGCGCCCCTACCTATCTAGGATCTATCGTAAGGGCTAGGGCGTGAAAACGAAATGCTCTTATAATCCTTGTAAATAACGCGCTTTGTATTAATTTATGGACGGCGAGCAGCCGACTAACGTCCGGGGGCGTCGTTACGATGATATACGCTTGTAGGGGGTAGTAACAGGGGTAAGGGTAGAAGGTTGAAACAGGGAAAAGGGGTAAAAGGTAAAAGCGTGGGTGTGAGTGTGGGGGTGCTGGTGTTATTTGGATTTCATTACGTACTCTACGTTCTGAAATAGAAAGAGTGAGATAGTGTGAGTGTGTGTGAGGGGGTGAGGAGGGAAGTTAGGAGCTTCTCCTACACGTATGCTTCAATGTCGAATCGTGTTTCCGCATTTCTGGTGATATCGAAGGGGAGAAATTGGAGCAATGCCCGTGTGCCACCAACGACAACCTTGCACCACACCGGACGCCTCTGAATATACATATCTATTCGTGTATTATAATATCTAGGTATATTGATGCTGATGTGTATATGTATATGTGTATATGCATACGTACAGGATCGTTCATATCAAATGTTATCCAAATTGTTTTTCTACAAATTTATATGTATATTGAATTTGGTTTTTTTTTTCTTCTTTCGTTAGATGAATTTATAATAATAAAAAAGAATTTATGAATTTTTCTTAAATGATTCTTTTGATTGTAAGGGGTTGTTGAAGGGATTGTTCGTAGGTTTTTTATTTGTATAATTGTCTCGTCGAATTTTATAACAGGTATTTGAAATATTTTGTCCTTTTTTTTAAAGATTGTACAATCATTTTGTAATCTTTTACAGAATAAGTAAATTTCTCAGAAAAGAAAAGGAAAGAAATAAAGGAACATCGGGTAACATTTAATTTGAACTATCCTGTACATGATAGATACGCGCACGGGTAATAAATTTAAATCGATCACCAAGAGGAACGAGAAATATTCTTCGAGTACTACAGAATAGGAATAATTTAAACGATCAGGATGTTCCAATGCTCGATGACGAGTTTAAATTATATTCGAATCGTGAAAATTGTATTATGAGAAATACGAGAGAAATAAAGAAAAAAAGAAACAAGAAAAAAAAGTAAACGTCTTTTTTTTTTTTTCTTTTCTTCGTCGTTAGATCGAAAAATGTTTCTAAGCAAATTCAGTTGATACTTCGAAGTTATTATAAAAAGTAGGGGAAACGATTTTAAATGTACATTAATCATCGATCACACGTCGAATAATCTAACGGATGAAAGTATATTAATAGATTATACTAGGAAGAAGGATTTTCATTGACCATAAAAATGTTACTTTTAATTTAACAATACTTCGAACACTTTGACATTATACGAATAATATCGGTCATAGTTATTAATCTTATTATGAGAGTTTAGGATCTTTATTCATTGTCAGATATGTACATCACTCTCTCTCTCTCTTTTTCTCTTTCAGGATGAATAATCTATTATCGTTTGGATGGATGAAAACGAGTGAGAGTGAACAAGAAAAATGAATTAAAAAGAAAAGAGAAGCACAAATTGAGAAAAAAAAAATAAAAAAAAGAGGAACGTTAGTTTTCCTATAATCCCGGGGTACGATTAAAATTTCATATTAGCGTACCTGTTATAAAATACATCATGTACATGGAAAAAAAAAGAAAGAATCGGATGGTTTTTTATGAAGTTTTTATGCGATATCTATCCTACGATCGGTCGTTTGATATTTTAAACGTTTAATTATATCAAGATTGATTCTACTCTCAACTCATCTCTTGATAACAATCAACGTGTCAGGATTGTTAAATAAAAAAAAAGAAAATATCTGACCATTACTTTTCTCTCTCTCTCTTTCTCTCTGCATTTCTTTTCTTTCTTTTTTCCTTCGTACAAATTTGTCTATTGAACTAAACGACAAAATCTTTAAAATTGAATACAGGTCACGTTACAATATAAACTTAACGATAAGTTAAAAAAAAAAAGTTAAATAAATATATAAGTAGAGATAAAATGTTATCTTGGATACTACTACGAGTTATCATATTTCTCTAACGTTATCGATGTAACCGTTTACGTTTACGTTTAAATAGAAGGCACAATGATCGTATCGTTTTCCAAACGATTTGGCTAATCTATTGGCAATACTTTGAAAACCTTCTGTGACCACAATGACGTTCAATCGGATCGAAGTTGGGTGTTGCTTTTAAAAGAGTATCTGCAACATACAACAACACAACACAACACAACACAATACAACAACAACAACAACAAAATAAATAATACGAGTACCGATCTATTTCATTTCACTCTTTTGAAGATTTCAAAGTACATACTCTTGAAAGTAAACCCCCTTTCGAGTTTAGCACTTTAAAAAGACGTTTTCTATGACGTTAGCTTAAGTCGAAACGATTACGCAATTCATTTTAACGAGTTCTTGCACGTTTTCCCTGCCATTAAAAATTCATCAACGCTGTGAACTGAAATCAACGTGTGTCGTTGCACGTTGAACTCGCATAACCAACCACTCCTCTCTTCTCCTCGTCACAGTACCGCCGCCCCTAAACTCACCCCTTGGAGGAAAATTAGTTGGAAGTTTTAGATTTATCGTAGGTTTTGGCTACTACCCAACGAACCAAGCGTTTAAAACTTCTTTTTCTTTTATCCCATAGCAATAACAAATAGATTCTACTTCGATCGTATCCACCAATCATTGGAAATCAATCAAATAGAGGATGAGGATAAAAATCATTACGGAAAAAAAAAACTAAAATGAAAGAGAAAACAATTTAACGAAAATACTCTAAGATTTATTTTCAAGTAAACCAAATGTAATTTTTAATAAATATATATATATATATTGAAAAATAAGAAGATTAATTTGACATTTTAGGAGTTAGGATCAAGGATTAAATAAACGATATAGGGTTTTTTTTTTTTTCAACTGTCGTATAATTTTTGTTCGATCTATATTCAACGATCTGAAGGTAGACGAACCTCCTGGAAATAAAATTCTGCCTACGCCGATTTTCCAATATTACACGAGATATTTCAAGCGACGGTGGCGGTAGCAATAGTAATAGCAGTACTAGTAGTGGTGGTGGTGGTGGTAGTGTAGTTGTGGTGTAGTAGAATCATGATGGTTGTGGTGGTGGGTGCCAGCGTAGACACAATAGAGAGACCCCCTACAGCGTATAGGGTGCACGTGGCTCATCACTGGATTTATTATTGAAAGGTTCGAGAACGATAAGAGGCAGATAGCTATTGCATGCTTACAAAGCTCTAGGAATACCAAATGCTAGACCATTTTATTATACAAGATACATCCTTGACATTATCACGCGATGCAATTCCTTATTTCGAATTGAAAATATTTTTTATTCCACTACTCTACCTTCCTTTTATCCTTTTTCTTCTTTCTTTTTTGCGTGCATAATACGCAGCAAGTTCTCGTAAAGGTGGTTCTTCGGGTACAATGCGAACGTTCCGTAAGGAAAATAGCGGATATCGATAGAAATACAAGGGACGAGGGGTAATGGAGGTAAGGTGGGTGGTGGGATAGAGAAAGATGAGAAGAATAAAGGATTTTTATCGACGTTTTCGTCCTGAAGAAAAGTTCGATAGTCCGTTTCTTTCACTGACAGTCATTTCCTCTTCTTTCAGGAGGGTATCGGCTCGCTAAAAGTGGTGCCCGGGGGGATTGAGCTAAGAGGTCAGGCCGCTATTCTAGACACCCTCGTGGCCTCAAACCTTAGGTCTCGAAAAGGTGAAAATCTGGTACTGGAATCCTGGAGCAATTTTACGGCCACTGCTAGGTCGCACGATGGTCGATTGTTAGCGAGATTAACCGTTGGTAAGGAAAATGATAATGATACGTTTTTTATTAAACTATGTAATTAATATCATTTATGCAAATTCAAATGTTCATTTTTAAAACCCTCACTTTAATATATATTTGAAAACTTTCATTTTGCCTTGTGGATTATTAATTTGTCTTCAATGTTCACATGGGGAACAATTAAAATTTCTATGAAATAAAATAATAATAATTTGTATTATTATTCTTGGATGGTGTATTATTATTTTTAATATTTTTGTAAACATAAAAAAGGAACGGTTTTATTTCATTTCTTTGAAGTACGGTGAGGTACTATTCACATACTGTTACACACAAAATATTTTTTATACCGGCTCGTAAAAATGAAAATTACTCGAAACTTGTTGCATTTAATTTTCTTCTTTCTTTCTTTCTCTTTTATATTTTTTATTTATTTCAGTCATTCGACGTTAATGTAAATTTTTCTTGATAATTAAAATAAACATTCTTTGTTAATTTTGATAAGAACTAACGTTGCACGCTTTTACAACATGGGATATTATTTATATATATATATATATATATATATTATTTTTTTTTTTTAATTGCAAGCTTCAAAGAGTTAAGATATTTACATATAACTTTTTCCAATGAGGGATTTTATTTATTTTTTTTTTTTTTAAATTGTCGCTCAACGAGTCAAAAGCTGTATGAAAAATGAAATAAAATGAAAAGTTTTATCTCGCTAAATGAAAGAACCGTAAATGTAAATATACGAAATATTAACATACTTAAATGCACCGCGTATTTTCCCATCCTCAAAATTTTCAGTAAAATTAGGATAAGCCAAAACTACGTGTATGTATTTTAAGTTAGAACTCCTATTCTTCAAAATCTAATAAAAAAAGTTATGGTGTTTTGGGTTTAGAATACATTTTAGTAAATATAGAACACGTTTAACACTTTTAATATGATTTCAGGTGAGGACCGGTTCGATTGCATTTCAAAGGGCTTCCGAATAACCGATCCAAGAGGAGGAGTATTGTTTTCAGCCAATAGAGAACAAGTATTGGTTGGAGCAGACATGTTAAAAATAACCGGTGATGGTGGTGCCGTTTTCCAGGGTAGCGTACAGACACCATTAGTTAGAGGAGAATCTGGCCGGGGTCTCAGGTAATTTTATTTATCACATTTATCATCAATAAACCAATCTTATAAACAATAGACAAATAAACTAAATCAATTGTTATCTATTTGTTTGTTTTTTTAGATTGGAATCCGCAACGAGGTCAATAAAAATCAGCGCCCCACAACGAGTGGTATTGGAATCCTGGGCAAACGAAATTTCAGCGTCCTGTTTGACCGACTTGAAAGTTCAGAGCGTACACGGTGCAATAAGACTCGATTCCAAATCTGTCTTCCTGAAAGGTCTAAAAACAGCTGTAACTGTCCAAGGAAGATCCTCGAGGGAGTCACAACAACAACAACAACAGCAACCACAACTACAACTGCAATTACAACAACAGCAACTACAAGAAGAAGAAGAACAACAACAACAGGAACAAGAACAACATCAACAACAACAGCAACAGCAGCAGCAGCAGCGGTCTTCCAGGTCCTCGATTCATCAAAATCCAAGAGAAACGAGCATTTATCAACTGTGTGCCTGCGCTAACGGGAAGCTCTTTCTTGCCAGACCGGAGGGTATCTGTCAAGCGGACAAATCCGTTTGCTAATGCGTCCTGGTGTCATTTAAATAAAAGAAAATTTCATCAAACGGAAAGGAAAATGAAAATGGAAACGACTGTTTGTACGGACGGCTTAAGATATTCGTCTTGTAACGAATAAAACCAAAAGAAAAACACACACACACTCGGAATAAAAATACAAGCCGTGATAATATCCAACCACAGTGTCAGGTGGATCAGAAGACGAGAGGCCTTTTTTTGGAAATCATTGCAAGAGTATCAAACGAATTGAACTAGTCGATGAAGCGATTGAATAATTAATATTCCCCACAAGTTGATATTTGCTCAAATTGACATTTTCTACGTAGCGGAAATGAGAGAGTCACTTGGGTGTCGGTGGGTGGTTATGGGTGTCTGTCTGCGTGTGTGTTTGTGTGTGTGTGTGCGTTCAAACGCTTCCTCGATTTGTTCCATTTTGATCGCACATTGTATATTATACCCTTTGTAGAGTATAAGTCCGCGTACACCCACGGAGTAGGTCGCGTGAAGTCATGTATGTGTGTATGTGTGTGTGTGTGTGTGTAATGTGTACTCGGTGACTTGCGCGGAAACTTGATCAACTACGACGACGACGATTATGATAAAGATGATGACGATTATGATGATGATCATGATAATGATGATGACGATTATGATGATGATAAGGATTTCCTAGGGTTCTGCGGACATCTATGTGTATGTAGCATTGTTGCTGACGCTACCCCGCGATGTATATCTTGTATATCAGTGAAAACGTAACGTGCGGTTACCATTTAGACATCAGATGCATCATTAAATAACACAAATCTCCAGCTCCTCGTCTATCCGCTTTCCTCCATATTTTTATCTTACGTCATTCCGTTGTTTCTTTTTGATCTAAATATCTTCTTCTTTCTTAGCTCCATGTTTGTTTCTATATGTCTCGTTTTTATTAGATATGTTGTTCAGTAATTATAATAACGAAATGAAATGGTCTAACAATTTTATTACACACTCAAGAAAAAAGTAATTATTTATCGAGATATTGTTATTATTAAGAAAATAATTTTCTTATTTAGCAAAAGATAATTATAAACAAACAAAAAAATCTATCTTTCAATAAGCTAATACAATGCCCACAATTTGTAATACCAATTAGTGGTAAAATCGTATTATTCGAGAATTGATTTATTTTCGATCGCGTTTTCTTGTAAAACTGGAATGAAATGAAGACAAAATGTAGTTATTGTAAAAGGATCAGGATGCGATCCAGCTTGTACGCTGTACGTCGGCCATGTCCATCTATTTATGTATGTGGCAATAAAGTCGTTATTGTTACTATTATTATTAATCGTCGCCAAGTGCCTTCCATTTTTGTTCTTTTAAATTCAGGTTAATCTCATATACGGGGACACTTAACTAAGTTGCTATTGGACAACCAACATCAAAAAGTAAGTAAATAACAAAGATAAATGTAAGATAATTTTGACAAAATATATCTCATGTTGCACATAATTGCAGTACGTAATACGATCGTATTAAAAACAATAATAACTTGATTTAATTTTATCAAAATGTTTAATGAAAAGAAATAGAATTTAAATCTGAAAATAATTCAATCGCAAATTTCGCAGGTTAGTAAATAAATAATCTGACGAGTGATTTAATTGCATTTAGTATTCATTCTTGAATAGTAGTCATAAATTGAAGAAAAAAAAGTTATTTCCAGGTAGGATAATTTTTTAATCTGAAAAGACAACAAGTATGATATTTTGTTAAAATGAAATGGCCTATTTTCGAGATACTCTTGTACACGTAACGATAGGTATAACAGAGATGCAATCTCGTGCAGTGGTCGCAGTAAGCGATTCCGACGGTAGGATAATTTTCTCGAAATTCGAGATTAAAATTGCATCGGGCAGGGGAGGAAAGAGGAAAGGCGAAAGGAGAGAGAAACGGGCTGGGAAATGAAGAAAATGTAGGAAAAACAATATGCGAGACAACTACGGATTAAAAATAAAAGTCGTACTTTTGTGTAGGATCTAAAAGCGGGTTGGTTCGTAGAAAGAAACCCACTGGGCGAATTATAGTGAATTAACATGAACGCGAAATAGTATAAGGAGAAATAAGAAAAAAAAAAAAGAGAGAATAGTTGAAGGAAAAATAATGGCGTGAAAATTCTCTCTTACCTCGGTTAAAAATAAATAAGAAACAAAAGATGGAGGGTGGAAGGGGGTGAGTATCGTTATATTTTTGTGATAAGAATAAAAAGAAGAAAAAGAAAGAGAAAAAAAAGTATGGAATAAAGAAAGAAAAGTAAATGAAATAAACAAAAGGGGATGTCTCTTTTCAAGAATACTAGGGGGTAAAAAGTATTGTCTAAGTAAACCTCTGTAAACTTGAAAGTCTTGTTGAGTTTCTGCTTGGACAAACGATCAAACTACTTCAGCTTTTACTCGATCTCTTCCGATTGTGTAGCTTTGCGCTTTAGTGAGTCAAGAAGCACGTTGAACCAATCGTGAACAGTATAGTTGTCGTCTATGTCTATGTCTATCTATGGATGAATAGATACAGTGAAGGTGAAATTCCCTACTCCTCCACCCTTAATGTACGATCGTTTCGATTAATCCTCCAAGTGGATTCACGCGCTCGTAGGGGTTTAATCCTGGTACGGGCGTTACCGTCGCGTTTAACTCGACCGTTCGTTCCTACTCCGACGATCGTTCATCCATTCATCCCTTCATTTCCATATAAAATATAAATCGTTCAACAACCTTATACGAATACCTACAAAAAATAAAAAATAAAACACGAATAGATATATGTTTGTATATATTACTTTTGCATGATTACGAATAGTTACCATATATATCGTTGATTTGTGTCAGCCTTGGCAGTTGGAATTTCTACCAATCGAATTCTGGGATACTTTTAAATTTACGAGTCAACGTTTTATTGCTTTAGTTAATTCATCAATTTTATAAAACGTAGACGGTACGTATAAAAATAACATTTTTGTTATATTTATTAGTTTGTCTTTTGAGTAGAAGTAAAGAGGTTTCTTTTTTTTGGAGCATCGTTGAATTAAGAATAGGAATTGGGGTGTCTCGTAAATTTAAGGGTTGAATTTTGTTACTTTTCTCGATTAATTTCAACAAGACTTGGATGTGCAAATGAAAAGAATTGGAAACAATAATTTTACCTATTCCCTTTTAGTAGTGTTTACCTCGTTTTATTTTAATTATGACATAATAATAAAAAATATAATTGATTATTAATTTAGTATAATATAAATCCCTTCCGGGTCTTTAACAATATATATATAACTTGTTACATAGAAGAAGCAAATTCACGAAGGATTTACACATATGGCCTTTAGCTGCTGTTAGGCTTTTCCATAGATTGAAGGTACCCGTTGTAAAAGGATTGTACCTTCAGGGGCTTGGGAAGAATTAGTTCAAGTTGAGTACAAGCACGATTATACTTTGGCAATATATAGTTGAAGAGCCCCTGTAGGGAGATATAGTTGAGTAACGTTGGTAACAGTAAAATCCTGTTGGTATTCAACCCGTCCTGGGTGTAGTATCTAAAGGATGAGTTCTGTGAACCGTGAAATTGTTGCACATGGATACGCGTGCGTCCGATAAAGCTTTAAATACGAATTAGTGGCACAGCAGCCGCCGCGGAAGTCTTCTCTCGGCAAAGCAACGCACCCGTAACGCAACAGAATAGAACAGAACAGAACAGAACATAACCTAACCTAACCTAACTTAACTGGATTCAATGCACAGTGCAACGTGGGCTACAACACGTGTGCTGTCCTGAACATTGTTGAGCACACAGGTTTGTTGGTGGTCCACCTCTTCTCTCGTGCTATTGGAAATCTTGTTTCTCTTCTGTAATTATTATTGAATAGGGGTGAGGTATGGTAGGGATGGGTTAGCGGAAGATAGAGGGTGGTACGGGAAGCGTTTTAAGGATTGAATTCGTAAGCGGGCGGCACTAACGTCGACACATCGGTAAGCATTAAATGTGGTCTGCCGTTAATGACTACAGTCGTGTGCTAAGCTTTTACTGGTATATATGAAGATAGTAATAGTAGTAGTAATAGTAGTAGTAGTTGTAGTAGGGAACATAATCGAAGCGTTTTACTTTACGCATCGTCCTACTACGTTACCTACGCTCAAGATAAAAAAGATGAGAAGGAAGAAGGAAGGAAGGAAGGAAGGAAGGAAGGATGAAATGGGAGGATGAGGTAGTAAAGGGGTTTAGGGGGTAACAGGGGAGGGGGATTATAAAACTCGCAAATAGATATTTGCCGAAGGCGGGGACCACCAGCAACCCGCGTTGCAGAAATTAAAAAGGAAGTGGTATCGATCCGCGGTATTGCCGCACCATCATTGAAATTATGTAAGCTAGAAATGTAGGTTAATGCATACTCGAACCGCGTTCTTAATGCCACCGACGCAAATTGTCGGGCTATGTGTATTTTTGCGAACATTTTGCGGGAGCACCATCCAACGTAGATGTTTATCGTAACTCCGTAAAGAAAGCCGTCGTTCCACGGGCTCTTTCTTTTTCCCTTATAGACGAAAATGGAAATTCGAGAGAAAGAGATGGAGGAAGGTAATTTTTCAATCGGCCTTGATCGAACCCCACTATTCCACCCACCGCTTTCGTCTCGTCTTACTTCTTTTAAACGAATAAATTTTGTTTAGTTTTAATTTCATCATAATTCTCGTTAAAGTTATATTTCTTTTATTTGAAATAATGAAAACATCATTTTTAATATTCCACATATATAAAAACAGAAAGTGTTTTGTTTGCTAATAATTTGATGCACTTCAATATGATTGTCTTTTAATAATCTAATTAAAATATTAACACCTTATCTCGATAATAGCACGTGATAGGGTTTAAAATGCAATTTTATAAGAATTCAAAGACGATTAATCTATTGAGTATCGATAAGACGTTAACAATTCTAAATAATCGATATGAATATTTAAAGTAGATAAAATATCGGACATAATATCAAAAGAGAGAATGAAAATAAATATATAATAAAGACTCGTTTAATTTTGTATTTTAATAATAACACAAATTGCTTTCTACCCGACTTGAGATCAGGTTCAACAATGTTTTTTCAAAGTACTAAACTTGATAGAGAGAGAATAAAAATTCGATTAAATGAAAAATACAATAAAGATTGTTTGATCCTAGATCAAACGTTTGTAATAAAAAAGGTTGAAAAGAATGAATGGGTGTGGGTACGTACTGCGACAGGGTTAGATCTGATGCGTTAGTTTAAAGTGTAAATGCAAACTACGATAGGAGTATAACAGGTTGTTGCTTCGTAAAGAGAACTCTACGGTATGGAACGTGAGTGGATCGAGTAAACGTTGTCGTGTTAAACATATATGTATGCAGTTGTAGTAGTAGTAGTAGTAATAGTAAAAGCATTGGTGGTTGTGGTGGTGGTTGTGGTAGTGGTGACGTTGGTGATGTCTGTGGTGGTCGTTGGTGAGTACCGAGGGCTGAGGGTTGAGAGGTAGAGGCGGATCACTTCCACGAGAGAAATCCACCGAGAGGGGATTGTCTGAGGTCAGAGGTTAGGACACTCGTGCCTCGAGGGCTCTTACTCTGATCAAAACCGCCAAATAGATAAATTACTCATCCTACTCGTTCTCTCGTTTCCTTTTCCCCGAGATTTTAAACTAAACATAATATAAAAAAAGATTAAGTATGAAAGATAAGATAAAAATTCTTTTCTCGAAATATCTATGTTTGTGTTGTTGTTTTTTTTTCCTAGAAAGAGAACCATAGTTTGTTTGGAAAGAAAAAAAAAAATAATAAAAAATGAAAAAGAACAATTCCGCTATTTAATTTCTGTTTTAGATATGAAATTATAAGAATCGATATGAAGGAGATAACAGAAACCTCGTTTATTATTCTTAGAAATCAATCGTAGTCACTTTATTAGATATTTAACAGAGCAAAGTAACGATGAAGTAATATTTGATGATTTCCGTTA